TTCTCTAGCAAAGGTCAGTCCCTGGCCCTGTGGTCCAGATGTCCTCATTCACATCAAGCTTCAAGTTCAGATTTCCCATTTCCGCTCTGTGGGAGGGGAGACTTTTCAAAGTGCTCTCTGTGCGACTGCACATGGCTAAGCAAAGAGTACAAGCCCCAAATCCCCCCTGTGCTTTGGGAGCCAGGTTTCCTGTGTGAATTCTGGATTTCAGATGACTTCAAGCCTGGGCTTTGTGATTATTTACTAGTTTCTCTAGCATTGGGCCACTCTTGTTCTGACAGCTGTGGTGGCCAAGTGGTTAAGGTGTTGGACTTGAAATCCAATAGCATTCCCCTGCAGAGGTTCCAATCCTGCTCACAGCATGACCTGTGTTTTAGCCAGTCTCTAACCAGGGCAAGACCTCTCTACAACCCCCTCAGAAACTCTCAATTCTCTCCCCACCCCAAGTAAATCCTCTTCTGCTCCTTTCATAGAGATCCCTGGGACACCACCTCACACTGTGTCCCTGAGGTGTCAGCCAAACTCTCACCACCTGAAGCCACTGCCACTCACCTAGCGCCCCATGGATCAGCCATAGCCCTGGCTGCTGCTCCTCTCTCTAGAGTGTGAAAGGAGCCGAGTTAGTGACTCCATGGGTGTTATGGGGCTGCAGCATCAACAGAAAAAAAAATCGGTGCTCAGCACCCACTGGCAGCCAGCTCAGGGCCCCACCTGCTAGCAGGCCTGGCCGACAAGCTCCTCCTCTTCTCCTTCACCGCCTCCTGCCTGCCAGTGATGCGGTGTGCTGGAGGAGTGGGGAGAGAAAGAAATGGGGCAGGGCGGGGTGGGAAAAGATTGGATGGTTTGGGGGCAGGGCCTGAGGTGGAGCAGGCATTGAGACCGCCCGGGAACTCTTAAAGTTGGCGCCTCTGAGTGTAGACGCCTTCCCTGAGTCTGAGCTACCAGGATCCCTGCCGCAGAGCAGGCGCCACAAGTCTCAGCCTCCCTGTCCCACACATGGCTCTGGGCACCACCAGGAATCGTTTGGCTCCTGCCACACAAGGCAACTTAAAAGCTGAGTCCCTGGACAGCAGCTCAAACCCTGGCCCCGCCCATTAAGATCCTGATGCTCTACGGACTGAGCTAGCCCGGCTTGCTAAGAGCCTCCACCCCTTCTCTTCTTCTCCACGGCCACTGCCTATTCCTCCTCCTCTTCCTCCCTCCTGCGCCTCAGGGTCACTAAATCTCCACACCTAGACAGCCGGCCCGTCCGCTGCACCCCAACCCTCATGCCTGAGCCTCCCTGCCAAAGTCCTGCTCCTGGATCCAGAGAATTAAGTCTCACATCTCACTGGGAACTCGACTTCTTGTGCCCAGAGAGTCTCGGCCCCCTCAGTTGATGACCCAAGGAACACAGTGTCCCCCTTTTCTGAAGAAGTCCTTGGAGAGGCTTTTCTCATGTGGCCCAATGGATAAAGTGTCCAAATTCCTCAGGCCATTGAGGGTTCAAGTCCCTTCGTGGTTGTACTTGTGCAGTTTTTCCTTTTGTGCTGAAAGTCCTGCTCCCTTCAGGGCTGGCAACACTTTTTGGCTGCTGAGGCAATGCTCTGGCTTCAGCTACAGTCCCGGGATGGAGTTGGGGGTTGGGCGTCACAAAGGCTGGGGCATGAGCCCCACGTGCTTTCAGTCTGGCCTTTGCCATTCCTGATTTGCCAAAGAAAATGGGTGGCTGCCCGGGCTAGCATGTGGAGCAGTTTCCCTCTTCCAAATGTGCGTCTGTCCCTGTGCTTGAGGGGACTTGCTAAATAGCGCCTTGGGAACCTGGGTGTTTCTCTGCTTCTCGCCAGCTGGGGAAAAGCCTCCTGGAGTAAAATCTCCTGCCCCACTGCCAAAGTGAGCACCTTGAGTGGGAACAGTAAGAGGCCCCACCAGTGGGGTTGGCCCTGCTTTCCTACTGTCTTCTGATGTTGGCCACAGAGCATTAGCAGCCGCCCAGCATGCTGGCCTGCAGGTGGCCTTCAGTGGGTGTTTGGCATGGCAGGGAGCAGGCTGACCGGGTGTCTTGTTGCCTGTCTGCTGGCCACACATAGGCATGGTCCTCCCCTCCTCTTGCCTCACTCTCAGTTGCTCTGTGGCTTATAAACCTTCCCTTGGAGCTGTCAGCACCAGCTGCCTCTGCTCTAGGTGCCCACTCTACACAGTACTGATCTATAAGTACTGGGCGCTAACCCATTGCACCACCGGAGTCCACACTTAGAGACTTGTCTCCTTGTTTCATGGATGGATTAGGGAGGTGGGAGGTTCCATTAGTTAAAACAAATCCATATTAAAGGCTGCAGGATGGCAGCAACAGAGGTGGGGAGCCTCCCTCTGTGTGATAGAGCTGGTTCCCCTCTTCCACTGCTAAGGGGAAGGTTGGTGCTTTGAGCCCACTTGGTGCTGGAACGTCTCATGGATGAGATTAATGAGACTCTTGAGAAAGGAAGGGAAGGGAAGTCTTTTCTATTCTTGCTGAGCTCCATTGGTCTCCTGTGGCCCTTTTGGCTCTCTGCACCCCTGCTGGGGAGATGCAGAAACAAGCCCCCATCTGGGTGAGTCACCGAGAGGCTGTATCCAGTGCAGTATGTGTGGGTGAGGGGTAGGGGTAGGGTTGTACTGGGCTCAGGGGAAAAGGTTCTGTGTGATAGTGTGTGGGGGAGGGGGAGGGTGTGTTTCTTAGGATAGAAATGATGGAAAACACAGGGGTAGTGACAGTGAAGCCCCGTGTTTGAGTGTTATGACCTTGTGTGGTGCTGCCAGTCACCTTCCCCTCCTATGGTCTCATCTTTCATTAAATCCAACATTTTTTCACCTGTCATCATCCCAGAGGTGTCCCACATGCCTCAAATACAGAGTGTCCCTCTTAGAGACGCCGAGGACTGGAACTGATTTCAGCTGCTGGACAGCTCTGCTCGGTTTTTATACATTTGCATAGGAAATACCGCCCAAAACTCCGCTCCCAAAACTCCGCCCCCACCTGCCTAAGGCTCTGGGAGGGAGTTTGGTGGTGGGAGGGGGTATATGGGGAGGGGGTGCAGGGTCTGGGAGGGAGTTTGGGGGCTGGGGGATGTGGAGGGAGGGTGCAGGGTCTGGGAGGGAGTTTGGGGGCAGGAGGGGGTATGTGGGGAGGGGGAGCGGGCTCTGGAGGGAGTTTAGGGGCAGGAGGGGGTATGTGCAGAGGGGGTGGGGGTGCAGGCTCTGGGAGGAGATTGGGGGTGTGGCGCTTACCTGGGGCTCCAAGGCGGGGTGAGCCAGGGGGCCTCTGCACGCTGCTGCCCCCAGGCGCCACCCCCGTAGCATCTCACTGGCCACAGGGGCACTCGGGGCAGGGGCAGCGCGCAGAGGCACAGCCCCGCCCCACCCTGCCCTGCCCCGGGGCTGCAGAAAGGGGCCGGCAGTCACTGGAGTGAACAGGCAGACACTGCTCAGCTCCGCTGCGCTGCTGGGGCCCCTGGGAGGAGGCAGGTGGGGCCAAGAGAGAGACCCGACCCCAAAACTAATGGAGCCCCACGGGCCACATTGGGGAGGCTCGCGGGCCACAGATGTCCCGTGGGCTGGGAGTTTGAGACCCCTGATATAATTGCTTCAGCCTTGTAGTTTCCCAAGTGGAAAACTAAACATCTCTTGAAATACAAGGGAGTGGAGATCAGTCAATGTTCAGAGTCATCCCACATAAAAGAACCATGTTGTGGTTCATGCTGGCCCCATCCTGTGCCCATTGCCTTTCCCTCCTCTCCTTTAAAAGTTTTGGTATTTTGCATAGAAACTTTCTTTCCTCAGGAGAGACCTGGGAACCAGAGCTGCCAGCCAGACAAACACCTTTAAGAGGAGGTGTCCCTCTCTCTGTCAAAAAATGATCTCCCTCCTTCAGTTCAGTGACAGCCTAAATTGTTCCTTACCCTGGCAGAGCCAGAGGATTGAAAACAGCAACATCAAACCCTTGTGTAGCTCACAGGAATGAACACAAACACTCCCTGGTATCTGAGGAGATGTTTAGTTTTACCCTTGGTCAGCTACAAGGCCAAAGGGAAAGGTGGTGGCACCAGATATAAAGAGTGAAACACAACACATCATAGTTATGCCCATAGTGATTGCAACATCTTTTTATATACTTCTTCTTATCATCAGTGTATTATTTTCTCTGGGGTCTAGACCTTGACTAGACCTTGGCCAAGAAATTTTGATCTTGAGAAAATTATCGACTACCCCTGGTGAAGGCAATGGACTTGACACCCACTGGGGTGTCCCTACACAGGTACAAGTACTAACAACATGGCTGCCTTTTAGCCATAGTTTTTAATCAGGGCAGTAAATTGATACACACCCCTGTTAAATCATTTCTCAGCCCGAGTCCTTCACCCACATTCCTTAGGGCATTGAGCCACCATGTGGACGTTTCATTTCCCTCCTCAATTTCACACAGAGACACAATTTGCTTTGCACAGATCCATGAACAGCAAAACCTCCCTGTGTCTCTGGTCTGAGCCAGGGTGTTCGATTCCAGTGAACCTTCTCTCCTGCAATGGCGATGGTCAGACAGAGGGGACGTGGCACCTGCATCCCTGACAGGGAGATATTGGCTCAGCTCTTTTCTGCTGCTGTTGTTAGTCCATGAAACATCAAGGGTGGAATGCAAGGCTGAGTTCACGCACCAACCCCCTGAAAAATGTCCATGCCCCAGAGAAATCCTGCCCCCTGCTATTGGGATGATGTGCTGGAGAGTTGACTGGGAAAGGGACTTTCTGAATTGTCAGAGTGGGGAATAAAGAACAATCTACAGCAATGTCGTTAACACAAACACACTCTCATCCTGCTCCAGCCGGAAGGGAAATGGGCAGGAATTCTCGCTGTTCAGCCAAGGACACACTTACACTGATGTGCAACCGTGAGTGTGCTGGGGAAGCTGGTCTGAGCAAAGAATTTGAAGTGACACATCTGTGAGAACTGAATCATAGTGTAGAAAAGGGCCCAACCTACATTAAGTAGTTGTGGCTGAGTGGTTAAGGCAGTGGACTTGAAATCAAGTGGGGTTGTCCTGCGCAGGTTCAAATCCTGTCAACTACATAGGCACTTGACTGTTATTATTACTGTAGCTTTAGTGCCTGAGCATCCACAGTGTGAACTAGAGCCAGATCTAGTTTCGCTCTTAGGCTGAGGCCATAGTTTGGGTGCCTGTGGCCCCCACAGTTTTAGGGGGGATCCGTAGCTCCTGCCCACAAGGATGAGAAAGATTAGCAGGTTATTGTTTTAACTACTCGGCCACTTTTTTGTGTGGTGGGCTTGTTGTTATTTAACTGTTTCTAAGGTCTCTTCTGTTTGTAACCTTCTCCCTAGTTCATTGGCTGACTGTGGATGGGGGGGGGGGATGGTTTGGATTTGAAAAAACCTTTCTCTGTGGTATGACAAAGGAGTAAGTGACAGGTAGAAACCCCCACATCATTCCTGGTCCAGGGAGCCGGGTTTGCTGTTCAGATTCTGTATTTCACCAATGTCCAGGTCTGGGAATGTCAAACCAGGGCAATTCTAATGGGAAGATGGACGCAGGGCACTTAACCTTCACAGACGTCCTATGGAGGTGGGGAGGGAATTAACAGTATTTTGGGGAACTTTTGGGAAAAGAGACTTTAGTGATAAGGTTTGTCTCTGTTCCTATTTCACCTTGTGCTGTTATGTTGGAATCGGTATTTGTTTTTCTATTACATTAACTAAACTCTAAACAATATTTAATCATTCATAAACCTTAGTGTCACCTGAATTTTCCCTCAGCTAGCCAGAATGAACTGAATTTTGCCTGTTTCTGGAAAGCAAAGAGGTTAAATTTGGGGAATTCAATCCCTGTATTGGCAGGTGGCTGTTTTACACTCACATCTCCGGGCACAGAGTGAAATACTCAGGCAATGTCTACACTACAGGATTATGTCACCCGAACTCACACAGTTATTACATCACTTGTGTGTGTGCAGACTTAGCTCCTTGTGTCAGCAGTGTGCGTCCTCAACCAGCTGTGCTGCCGGGAGATCCAGGGAGTCAGGGGTTGTCCTGGGCTCTGCGGGGGAAGGGGTGAGCTGGGAGAAGGGGCAGACTAGGTAGGTTCAGTCTGGTTTACAGGGGCTTGGTCAGTGGAAGGCTGTAGGTCACATACAGGAGGTGACAGTGGGCTCTGAGCTGGGGCAACAGCAGCAAAGAAGCAACGTGTGTGTGTGTGTGGGGGGGGGGTGTCACGTGATAAAAATGAAACTGCAAAACCTCTCCCTGTGTTGCAGCAAAAGGAGTAAGTGACAGTCTCATTTATCTCCTAAACTCCTCTCTGTGGAAACCCCCCTCCACCGCACTCAGAGATCCCCTCTCTCCCATGGAGATGTTTAACTTTTCCTACACACATTTTTCCCAGAAAAATGATCAAGGACATTTAAAATAGAAAAAAAAAAACCCAAAGCAAATCAAAACCAAAGAAACCCCCACCAATCTCCCCACCACACACAGTTTGGTTCTGAATTTTTCTACTGAAATTTGGAGGCAATAAAACTCAGCCCTCCATTGTGCCGAAAACAAACCTAGACCTCCCATGTGGTACCTAAGATGTCTGCTAGTGAACCACCAATGTGCTAGCCCCTGTTGTGAGACTTTTCCAACTCCTTGATGCTGCTGCTATTCCAGGGGAGCAATTATTGAGTTGAGGAAACATTTTTCTTTGCCTGGTTCTGTGTGTCACTGGTTTCTCCAGCAAAGGTCAGTCCCTGGCCCTGTAGTCCAGACACCCCCCATTCAAATCAAGCTTCAACTTAAGCGTTCTTTCCCATTCCCGCTCTGTTGGAGGGGAGACTTTTCAAAACGCTCTCTGTGCGACTACACATGGCTAAGCAAAGAGAACAAACCCCAAATCCCCACTGTGCTTTGGGAGCCAGGTTTGCTGTGTGAATTCTGGATTTCAGATCACTTCACACCTGGGCATTGTGATTATTTACCAGTTTCTCTACTATGGGGGGGGTACTAATTTCATGGCTGTGATGGCCAAGCGCTTAAGGAGTTGGACTTGAAATGCAATAGGGTTCCCCTGCGCAGGTTCGAATCCTGCTCACAGCAAGGCCTGTGTTTTAGCCAGTCTCTAACCCGGGCAATACCTCTGTACAAAACCCTGAGACACTCTCAATTCTCTCCCCATCTCCAGTAAATCCTGTTCTGTTCCTTTCATAGAGATGCCTGGGACACCCAATCCCCTGCCCCAGCAACCCAGATTCACCTACTCCCCCCCCACCCAAACTCCCTCCCAGAGACTTAAGCAGGTGAAGGCGGAGTTTAGTCAGGTGGGGGCAGAGTTGAGGGTGGGCTCTGGGCCTCACCAAAATTTCTACAAACCTGCCACCCCTAAAAGGCAATAGCACAAGCTTACCACCATCCCTGGGTGGGCTCCAATCACCATCCTTTCGGTTAACAGCCGAACGCGCTGCCCCTTTGCGCCACAGAGACACACAGATACAAGTCTGCTGTTACCAAGGCTGCTGCCTAGCAGCCTGCACATCTGCCTGCCAGCGCGAGCGCTCACAAGGCGCTAGTCCGGATGCTGGAGACTGGGTGCTGGGTGCAGGGCATGAAGAACCGGCAGAGTGGTGCAGCAGCAGTGTGCTGGGCCCATAACCCAGAAATCAATGGATTAAAGCAATCCTCTTCCAGGATTTCCTTATTTCTTTTTGCTCTGGGCCTCCAAGCGAGGAGACGACCAGCAGAGCACCAAGAGCCTAGGCCATGAGGCAAGAGGTGGCTGAGGTGTCGAACGGCCAGGGAGCTCCCCGGCACCTCTGGCTGCCTGGGCTGAAGGCAAGAGGCAGGCCTGGGCATGGTGAGGGCCTCCTGTCCCGGCCTGAGGCAGCAGTGCTTCCTCGTCCCCTTTTCACACCCACACCGGCAGGCGGCTGCTGCGGGAGAACACCAGGAAGGCTCTAAGGATGCCAGGCAGCTCTGTGTGGCTGTCAGGGGAAAAAGCCGAGGCTCCCGACTCGACCTGCCATTGACTCGCGTGGCTCTGGGCTCCATCAGCCGGGGCGGGCCAGGCTGCAGATGTGACTCAGACTTGGGCAGCATGGCCACGCTTTCCTGACGAGGTATAACCCTGGGTGTCAGGTCGCTGTGCAGCTTTGATCTAGAGCTCTGATCCCAACAACCGACCAGCAGCCCACAGCCTCCCCCTGGGTCTGCCCCACCTGGTTACTCCTTACAGGCTGACCTTACTCCCTTTCCAGCCCCGGATTTACCCCCTAATCGTCCTACTGCCACTCAGAGCCACAGACATGGAGGTGCTGACAGAGGGGGTGGGGGGTGACTCTAGGATGGGGTTCTTCTCTAAAGATGGCTGGTAGAAAGGTGGTGCTCAGCTCTGTCAGCGACCTGCCCAGTTGCCTCACTGCCAGGGGATGCAGACATTGCTGTAAGGCGATTAAAGGGGGGTATTTGGCTTCCAAGCAAATGTGAGGAATGTGCAATTATGAGAGAGAATTTGCATCCCTCTGTCAGTTAAATGTCAGGGCCCCAGTGGCCTAATGGATAAGGCATTGGCTTCCTAAGCCAGAGATGGTGGGTTCAAGTCCCATCTGGGGTAAAAAACCTCCTCTTTTCTTGTATAAAGTACTGGATCTTGGAAACAATCCCCCAGGAACAGCACTTGACAAATGTTTTCTAAACCCATCAGTAGCAAACCGTTCATACTAGTGTTTGTCTGTGAATAGAGTGAAGGGGAGTGTTTTTTCCAACATGTCAATGAGTGAAACAGACAGAAAGAGCAAGGCTGTTCTGAAAGAGAATGGATCTGTCTGGAGACAAAGCAGACCTTGGGAATGAGCAACCTAACAACTAACACATTTGAACCTCTTCTTTTCGCACTGTTAATCTGGCAAATTTAAAGAAAATGCCAATGCTCGTAGACTGATGCAGGCACTGGATGTTTCTGATCTTTTACTGAGAGTTCATTGAGAAATATTTTCCTTAATGATCAACAGAGGGTCCTGTGGCACCTTTGAGACTAACAGAAGTATTGGGAGCATAAGCTTTCGTGGGTAAGAACCTCACAAGACTAACACGGCTACCCCTCTGATACTTTCCTTAATGATGTTATGGAACATTGGGTGGGCTATGAAGGCACCATTCTTCCTGCTTTCACCCTTCGAGAGAACACAGCTCCATGGCATGGGGCCAATGCGCACCTTCCAGTCAACTGCTAGAGAAGACAACACAGACAGGGATGGCAGCAGGGCAGACTGGAGCTCCACGAAGATGGTGGTACCAGGTCTCATCAACGGGGAGGTGGCCACCCCAGCATGCACAAGGCTGAGCCAGCAAGTGTGGTGTGTACTTCAATGTGCCCCTACTCACTGCAAATGATGGTGGAGGGCAGTTACTTAGTTAGGTTGGTCTGGCAAATTTAGAGCTTAGCAACACTTGCAGATGTAGAGCGCTGGGAGTTAAACCAGCCTTCGGCGAGTGCAGCACAGAAAATGCTGCCGTGTGTTCACACTGTCAGCTGCAAGCGCACTGGAGTGGCCACGTTAGCAGCTCTTGCAACGCCACAGAGATCAGTGCATTGTGGTAGCTATCCCAGTGTGCAAGTGGCTGCAACGTGCTTTTCAAATGGGGGCGGGGGTGGAGTGTGACAGGGAGTGTGCTGTGTGTACGTGGGGGGAGAGACAGTGTGTTTGGGGGACTGAGAGTGTGTCAGCACGCTGTCTTGTGTGTTCAGACAGCAGCAGACCCCCCTGTCTCACACACACTCACAACAGCAGCATTCCACATTGATGGTTGCTTTGTCCTGGAGCAGATAAGCAGCCGGCTGTCAGAAACTGAGCTTTGAAAGGGGATATCCGCATGCCTGCAGCCGAGTTCAAAACAATGACCAGAATGGGCACTTGACTTCAGGGGATTATGGGACGTCTCTGGAGGCCAGTCACAGTGCAGTAATGCAACACGTTGTCCACACTGACGCCCGGGCGTTTCAGTGGGGCGCAGCAGTCTTTATGCTTCTCGTGGAGGTGGATTACCCGGAGCGCTCCAGCTGCAGAGTCCAGGCGCTCCATGTG